CGGGTTGTGCCCCGGGGGGAAAGGAAGGGGAAAGGTTTACCCTTTTTAGGGGGCTTAATTAACCTTTTGCCGGGGAAGTTTTTCCCGGCCCTTTTTAAAATTGGGTTCCCCCGGGGGGGGGGCCCCCAGTTTGGGGGGGGGGGGAAAAAATTTTAACGGGTTTTTTTTTTCCCCCCCCCGTTTTTGAAAGTGGGCCCTGGGGGGTTTTAATTTTTCCTTTTTCCGGGGGGAGGGTTCCGGGGAAAAAAAAAAACAATTGGGGCCGCCTGCCCCCTTTTGGGGTGGGGGCCCGGGGGGCCCGGTTCCCCCACCCAGGGGCCCCCCTTCGGGGGGGGGGGTGGGTCCTTCCCCGGGGCCTTTCCGGTTTGGCCCTTGGCCCCCCCCGGTTTAATAAAGCCCGGAAAATTTGTTTTGGGGGGGCGCCCCCCCCCCCCCCCCCCCCATACCCCCCCATGGGTGAGGCAGATGTTCACCGCTTACGACATGCTGGAGCAAGCGAGGGACACCTACAAGCGACTCCTCCAAAAGGCAAGGACTAAATAGGACTCAACTCTGAGTCGAGAAGCCGCAGCGGTGGTCTACAGAGGGAGGATGATTGCAGCTCGCAAAGAACTGCCTCTATCCTAGAAATTTTGACGCTGCCTGTATGGCTACTCGGTCTACCATGTGTACCGTCGTACCGTGGCGCATCGGTGCGCCCCGGCCTGCTTCATTCCAACCGTGTGATGTGACGTTTTGCAAGCTATGCAGCTCACACAGGTGTCGTGTGTCTTTTTACTCGAACAGCCCAGCGAACCTCAACGAGCCAAGGGAATCACGAGTCTTTGTACAGTCTTACTCACAAGATGGTCGTCGTCGCGTGACGTTAGATAGATTTTTTAAGCGTAAGTTTCGTTCGCGACTCCATCCCCCGTCGTTTCCGTTGGCGCACTTTTCCCTACGCAGGACCCTAACGATGCGGTGCACCAGCTCGCCTACGGGGAACTGTGCGAGGCGCTCAATGACGAAGAAGGCGCGAGAGACGCTTACGACGAGGCGTTACGCGTTGACCCGGGGATGGGCAAGGCCCACTTCCGGAAGGTGCGGACAGGCGCTCTTGTTGATGTTGTTCGTCAAAGTTTTGAACATGTTCTGCCAGCTGTAGTGGCGGTTGCTTTCGTCTTGAAATACTGTACCCCAAGAATCGTTCTGATTGGATGTCTTGTCTCGTTTGTTGTGGCCTGCCGTAAGCAGGCGCTACTTCTGACGGGGACGGGAGTAACGAACCAGGCGGCGCTGCACGCTTTCGGCCTGAACGCGGAAGAAGCGAAGCACCACCTGAGGGAGGCGGTGGCTTCCGGGGAGGAGGGGACGGCCATCTCCGCGGCGGAGGCGCTCAAGTGGTGTGAGATGGAGGTACGTTTTGTCTCTCGATATGCTTGCCTCCCCCGCACACGCCAGTTTGACCGAAAAGTCGCAACTTCTCGCCGAAAGCCGGGGGGTCGTCATCCCCCAACCCCCATGCCACGCGGCAATGCCGCGCAGGTTGAACGTCTTGTACGCACTGTTGTGTTGCCGTTGGTCTCGTCGTCGTCGTCGTCGTTGTTGTTGTTGTTGTTGTTGTTGCGTTGTTGGTGTCCATGTTGATGTTGCTTGGGTTTGCTGCCGCTGCTGTTGCTACCTGTATAAGCTGGGCTCACGAGACGTTTGGGGCGCGTTCTTTCCCTTCCGCCGGAGGAATAAGCGTTACCGCTCATCTTGTAGCGGTCCCGTCTAAGCATGTTCCCGTTTGTTAATTTGTTGCTGAGGATGATCGTGGTGTTGGCATGATTCAGGAACGAGAGGTGCAAGAGTGGAGCAGAGCACTCCGAGAAGACCCACAAGAAACAAGAGAACGGCTTCCGGGAGAACGAAGAGACCGCCAAGGAGAAGGAGGAATTGGCACCGGAGGTGACAAGACCGGGCGTCGCAATGAGCCTGCAGGTGCAGGGGGAAAGCGAGAAGGGGCTGCGTCGGCGTGGGTGGAGGAGGCCGGGGGGTATCTGTCCCTCCCGGAGGTGGAGATTTCGGGTCCCGAAGAGTTCATGGAGGCGTTTGTCAACAAGAGCAAGCCCGCGGTTATCAAGGTAACGACTAACTTGTTGTTGTTGTTGTTGTTGTTGTTGTTGTTTGTTGTCTTCACATTAAAACCGGTCCGGTCTCCGCTCAGTACCTGCTAGTGTCCGTACTACACTATACTATACTATAACAGTCCAACTGACGCGGACGCTTTCCGTGGTCACAAGCCAACTACCCCCAAAAGGGGCACACCCTTCTAGAAATAATAAACAATAAGAAAAGGACCCCAGAAAGTTCCTCCAAGATTTTTTGTGGTGAAGTTTATAGCCTCATGACGCGGAAGGGCCACGAAGTATTTGCCGTCGGTGTTGCAGCTCCCACTCCGTGTTTTCTCGCCTCGGCGAGGGAAAGAACCCACCGCTAGTTTGACCTCGTAGTGCATCCCAAAGGGGAGCTGGTACAATTCATGCTCCAAATGAAGGTCCCTGAGCTCAATTAGCGTACTCGACACATATAGCAGTCCCCGAATAAGGCTGAATTGGAAGTGCCAAGTGATTATTTGGCCGGCGTTGTACTGGGCACCCGGCACTGATGAGAGGTATCAGAGAAATTTTGCAACTGTTTCACTCGAGTTCGGCGGGCTTATGCAGGGGCCAATATGCGTATGTATCATTTCAACTTTTCTGGTGCTCTGGTCGTTTTTTCTCTGCTGGGATAGCGTTTTTTCTCGCACTTTCTTCTGCATGGCACGCAGAGGACCCGTCGGTACATTCCCCGTTACGTGCGGGGCTCGCGAGACACCGGTAGAGCGCGTTAGGGCCGCCTAAAGTCGCTGGGACTGGCTCTTTTTTCAGGGGGTGGGAATCCGAACCATAAAAGCCTCCTCGAACGGCACGAAAACTGAAAACAGAACTTTTTTTTTTACCCCACGCCACGCGCCACGCGCCCACGCGCCCACACACCTGCTGCTGTGATTTGTTGTGCACACAGCCGCCACACGGCAACTGGCGCATGTGTACCCACAGCGGGGATCAAGACTCTTGATGCTCATGAGAACACACCACGCGACACAGCAGTCCTCTCGCACAACTCTGGCAGCGGTAAATTTGTACATTTCAATTACGAAAAATCGAAAAAAAATCATCAAATATACAAGAAGTTTGGTACGATACAGTAGCAGTCTACATCTTCTACTGCTGTGACTGTTCTTGGGCACGTTGAGCATCTCTTTGACCCGTTGTTGTTGGTGTATGCGTGAAAAGGTCCCACAGACCATGGGAAACACGATGACACAAGAAGAGGAAGTGATCAAACGCAGCGGATTACAGCAGCAGTAGGGCCTGCAGCAACCCGCTATAATAGCCAAAACCCCTCACTCGCGTACAGGGGAAAGTCACGGCGGAAGAAAACAAAATACCCCGCACATACAAACAATACATATGTGTGATGCAAACTCCAGGCAAATTATTAGTATGCAGGTTGCACGCAAGCCGGCACTACCGAACGTGTATGACGGCCAACCACGCGAACGCGATGGCGTCGATTGGCCACGTCCTCTTGCGTCGCCCCCGGGAGGCCAATCACCTACCTCCCGCAGGAGAACCTTGTACTGCTGTCCACACCACCTGCGTGGTGACCTACGTCTTGAGCACGGCGCATATTGCACCCGGTGGTGGTCCGATTCTCCCACTCTCGGCACGTACTGCTGTATTTCTACGGTGTGTAGTCGAGATACGTAATTGGTTGACCTTGATTGACCTTGAGTCAAGTTCCAGGTTCTTGGCTCTCAATGTCGGGGACAGGGGATCATTTTTTTCTTCAAGTGTCTTTCATGATGGACCTTCGGATTAGCTGTTTTGTGGATCGGTTTGCTGAACCTAACCGTCTCAACGATGGAACGTCGTCCGTCTCAGCGGGATAAAAAAGCACGCGCGTAAGAATGTTTGCTTCCTTCCTGCTTTCGGTCCGTTTTCCCAGAACTTTCAGGATGGGTTTGCCCCTAAGGAAGCGTGGTCATGGACGGCGCTGTCGGAGAGGTTCGGGGACAGCATGGTACGAGTTAGCCTCAGCGAAACGGGAAGGTGCGGACAACACCCGACCCAAACATTGTTCAACCATACCCTTTAGAGTGCCCCTCCCCCCGCAACACGTGTTGTGCACACACGGATGGTGCCGAGGACAACAAATCGGACGCCAGAGGGGGAAACTAAACAAAGCGTGTGGGATCGATGGGTTGCAGTCGGCACGGCCCGAGCATGGAGCCTGATGGTCGTCCCAGTGCCGCGAGAGTCAATCCCTCCTTCATTGTAGGTACAGTACTCATGTGGACCTAGATGAGAATCCGTCTGCAGTCCTGGGGTTTGCTCTCAACAATCCACGTTCGCGGCGTGTGAGTGCACCCCTGAACCCTCCCCCCCCCCCCCCCTCAGCAGTCCGCTCGTCGCTCCTGCGTACCGTTTGTCCAACAATTCACCGCCCGTCACCCCCCACCCCCCCTTTCCACGTCCGTCTCTGCACTCGATTCGGGGGCGACGCAGATTCGACGGGCCGGAACCGGGAGACATGTGGGGGCTCGCCCCCGGGGACGAGGTGCTCGTGCGCCCCCCCGCGCACCTCGATGGCGTTTTCCGACTTCGTGCGGCTGCTGAGGCAGGAAGGGATCAAGGAAACGTTTTATCTCGAATACTTGGCCCTGCACCAGTACCTCGGCACTACAATGGCGGTGGGTACTGCAATAGATTCTGCTTTTTATGAACATGCTGCTCTCAGGCAGGTCGAATCCACCGAGAATGATAATACTATCGGCCCATTTTCCCCTGCGTCTGCTCGCCTCAAGTTCTTTATTCGCTCGGTTTCCGTTTTCCCCTGTGTCTGCTCGCCGCAAGTTCTTTTTTTCTCTCGTTTCCAGCCCGTCTCTGTCTTCTTTCCCCTCTTGCGCCCCCTTCTCCTGACTTCGCGTATGTACCCCCCCCCCCCTCCGCTGACCGCATGCCTTACAATCGATCGCTTTTTTTATCTCTCCTGTGGCGTTGTCTGCGATGATCCTCGTGGTGTTTGCCATGTCCGTTCTGTGTGTGTGTGCACTGTTGCTCTTTTCGGCCGGCAGGAGATGGTCCCGCTACCCGCAGCTGCCTCTGAAAGCGGGCTCGAGCTCCTCCTCACCAACCTTTGGGTAGGAAAAGGTGGGTACTTACCTTACCTTCTCGAACCTTGGGGTTAGTAAAATTTACGTACCTTTACCATGAACCTTTGGCTAGGAAAAAAAAAATGTACGTGCGTGCGTGCGCGTGTTGCTAAGCGTGCGGGGGTCTTGCGGGCGTGGGTGTGTTTAATCTATCCAGCGGGGAGACCAAAGCCTCCACGGGCTCACGGCTGGATCACTGCGGTTTACCCGTGCTGCTCGGGTGTCCCTTTTTTGGCTTTTTTTGCCGAACGCGGCGCGCGGTGTGGCCGTGACCAACGAGCCGCTCGCAGGGAACGATTCCCCTCGCGATGGCCTACGGCGAGAGGCGCAGATATCACACACACCCCAGACCGATAGTTACACAACCAAGAGGGGGGATGCGGACATAGCCCGAAAAAAGTACCGCGGAAAGCCCTCAACGAGATGTTTCTAAAACCACCAGTTTTTTGTGTTTTGTGTACAATGTTGGTTGTGGAGCAATCGAGCTGCGAAAATCGGTCCTGCGGGGAGGGTGCCATCTCTCCGCCTCTTGCGGTAATCGGTGACTTTGAGAGCCTTCCTTCGTGTACTGTAGGTGGAGAGTTCGGGTCTCGGCAACATGTGTACTTTTCCGCATCCATCCCCGTTAATAGACAAAGCGCGCGTTCTTGACCACGTTCTCGAGGCGAAAGAGACCGCTGCACCCTTTTCTCGTTATTGAACGAGGGCGTGTAACGCATCCTCTGTGTGACCTAAGCTTGGAGATGTTCAGGTAGTAGAGAGGCAAGACGGAAAAACGTGTTTATGCTCAAAGTGGACGACTTCTCAACAAATGGGGGACTTTTTACTATTGTTGTGTTTCCCTGTCCCATGGCGGAGCGAAATGTCGAAAGACAAAAACACATGGGATGGTATTTTACTGCCGGTAAGTCCTAATGCTCTCAATCCTCACGTTGTTGGGCTCTAAACCGTTTGCTCTGGTCCTACGGGACAACGAAAGGTAACGTCAGGTCTACTGCAACTCCTGACCCACGACGTCGACTGTGATGTTGGCAAGTGTCTCGCCGCTTTGCTCCGCTGTAGATAGCCGTTACGCATGCCCGCTCGTATACCGTGATTTGGACGAAAACTCGTCCTGCAACACACAATCTCTACACAAGTAGCGGTGCCATGCGGCAGGAGTCCTAGGAACGCAACACCTTTTTTAGCGACTCGCTGTTCACGATGACAAAACAGTACTTTGAAGCCGGCATCACACCATTTGACTCCAGAACAATATTATTATAGTTCAAGTGTAGCCTGTGTTTCGAACCCCACCACTAGGTTTTTCAGAAGCCGAAATCAAACCATTACCTCGCCAGCGTCGACTATTCTACCGATTTTTTATTTCGGCCTCTACACGAATGAGCCTTTGATTCTCACCAATCGTCCATGTATACCCCCCCCCCCCCCCCCCGGTTCTCCCAATCCTTAAAAGGAGGAACGACGGCCGTCCTCCCCTACGACGACTACGAAAACCTCCTCTGCCAGGTTAGGGGCACGAAGGAGCTGGTGCTGTTCCCCCCCAAGGACCTGGAGAACCTGTACTACGTCGGCAGGAGGAAGGGCAAGCTCAAGTACCACTTCCCCGGAAAGTGGACGAGGTGTGTCAGTGCGCCTCTGCGCTTAAAGCTAGGGAGAGGTCAAGCACGGGGACCATTTTATCCCAGGATCAACGATGATTACAGAAACCCTTTTGCGTGATTAACTCCTTCCAGTACTTAACACACAGACCAACGGAACACATGCGCGTGCTCTTTCCTTCTTGAAGGGCCCTCCAACAGTCATGCCATGCCCCCCACACATGCACACACCTCCCCAGATCGGATCTCGTACCCCCAAGTACCACGAACAAGGTGGTACAGCACGGTAATGTATTGTTGTGCACGTTGTCCCATGACATGACATGAATTGCACTTTTTTGGGAGGGAGGTAGTCGTCGTCGTGGTATCCAAACATTGCCGTTTTGCCCTCATACCGTGGAATATTCCGCGTCTCTTCGACGACGACGGGACGGAACAGAAACGTCTCGGGTTCCCACCGGCTGTGCGGCACTGTGAGGAGGTAGAAGGGGATGTGAAATATTTATTAAATGTTGAACATACTTGAGTTTGTGCGGTACTGCGGGATGGGACAGCAGCACAACGGTTCAAGCGACGCGGCCGGGGGTCACCCCCCCCTGTCTCTTCCTGGTTTGCCTTGGGACCCAACCCACCACAAATCAGGGCAGGCAGATTGGTAAGTAGAAATTACGGCTCTAAGACTTTAGACTAGGTCAAAGACTAGGTCAAATGTGACGGTGTTCCTTCCCTTCTGTCTGCTCATTCTTTCAAAGAAAATAGTCATACATCGGGGGATGTATTTGTTACAGGGGCTGGCTGATGGTACGGGCCGTGTCGTGCTCGGCTGCTGCTCCCCCCTCCCTGTTGACCACCGCAACGTGGCCTGTGCTCGGTCTGACTGAGTCGAACGCGCGCTTTTTCCTTGTTCAGAGACGAGCTGGATGGGCCGAACAAGGTGATCTTCAGCTCCTCCGTTCGGCTCGACGACCCCGACTTCGAACGCCACCCAAGGTGCGCCGCTTGGGCGGGGCTACATAGCTGTGTGGCAAAGTGCATGCTGTTTCTCCGACAGACATCCACTCTTGCTACTAACGTTCCTCGAAACAGGCTCATCGATATCGAGGTCTTCTTCGGATTGAGGCCACCACCCACGAGATGATAAGAGCTCGTGGTGTTGCATGGATTTGTAGGTGCGCTTCGGGGTGGGTAGAGCCGTGCTATGGTCTCGGGGTCGCTGTTGATCAAAACCTGAACCTCGGGAAACTCTCCAGCTTGGATCCCAGGGAAGAGCATCCACTGGCCGATAGTAGTAGGTGCTTCAGATCTATCTGTGTTTGATTGTGCTTCGTCTGTAGCACTTGGACCGCTTGAGACCCACGCCAACTTTTTCTTTTTACCGCCGTCTTCGTGCCGCCCCCGTCCCTCCGCCTAGGTTGAAGCGTTGTCGGCCATACCGTGTGGTCTTACAGGAGGGAGATGTCCTCTACATGCCTGCCTTCTGGCACCACGAGGTAAGTGCTTCAGGTATTCCGCTATATTGTACACGGCAGCAAACAATAATACCGCGTCGATGGTCGTTGCGTTGGGTGGCGGTTTTGATGCAATCGCTGGAGTAGTCCGCTTCATACGCTGAAGGAACTCTGATCGTACAAGTGGCTTTCATCATTATAATGGGGAATGTTTTATCACGCCATTTGCCGCGCGTTGCTTCCCAGGATGCTTTTTGTACAGGTGCTGTTTGGCTGCCAATTCTACCGTTTCTTTCGCGGCGTTCGCCTAGCCGCATACCCACCTGTGATTGGAGGGATTCCGCCTGTCTCCATCCTCATGCAGCTCTGATTCAACTCTCGATATGTTGCCACCCCATGACGTCGACCTGTCCGCCCCTTATTTGCTCTACTGTAGCCATCGTTGAGGGTGCATCCAATCCCTCCCCAGCCGAGTTATTAAACTTGGAAGATTAATCCCTACGGGTAGCTGGCGGTGCGGTCGATCTGCTGGGGGGTAAGCGTTGCTTCGTGTCGTGTGCTACCACCTTTGGTCTTGTTTTTTTTTTGTCAGGTCCGCTCGTACCCAGACGCTGAAGAGGGCAACGTGGCCGTCAACTTCTGGTTCCGAAACGTCACGAGTTTCGCCGAGGAGGAACGCGACGTGCTTGGCATCGGTGGCGAGCCGAGCCGGACCGAGCTCTGAGAAGATGTAAAGTCTCCCCATCCGCTTTTACCCGACGTTTGACACGAATGCCCGCGCGCGTGTGGATGAGGGGGGTCCGAAAATTGTTCTTTTGCTTACGCTTTTTTTTGTCGTTGTTCAACTTAGAATAGCTTGTTGCAGGGTGCGTGACGCGCGGCCGAGATCCTTTCTCCGTTGTCTTGTAGTCGCACGACCATTGAGTTCGTGCTAAGGCTGAGTCCTCGTCTCGCAATGGTTTGGAGCCAAAAGGCGAGATAGAATGTCGTTACTTATGGTAAGAAATTCAAATATCAATGACCTCCCGAACGCACGGGAGACTGGAGACCGGGAGGAGAAAAAACCGAAAAATTAGTAGCGGAGGTGCAACGTAGAATTCAGAACGCGGATGCCAACGAACGTTGTCCCCAACAAGTCCGCGTTGGGTGGGTGAGAGGGTGGATGCAAGAGTGAAACTCTGTTCGCTCAGCGCTAGCGGCGGGAGCCGCCACCCCGCTGCTCCGACCTTCAATCGCCCGCCAAGTACCGAGGCACCAAAAAGCCAAAGTATACGGCGGTGGGAAGAGAGCACCTCAGGGGGTCGATTGTTTCTCTACTACCGAGCGTCCCTCATCTTGTCCACTCCTCTATTTAGACGGTTATGCGACCCGCCCCTATTTAGCAAGAGCTTTTCAGATACCACTCGCTCGATGTAGCGTCGATACTGTGGCAGTCTTCGCCACGGATTTGCTGGTGAGGCTCCGTCGTAAGTTGTGGATGCACCTGCTCTACTCTCCCGGAGATTGCATAATTTACGCCATACGATAGCATCAACTCACGCCCGATTTTCAAAGCTCTCTTCTACGAATGCTCACCGAAACAATGGCGGCGTTGGAACCGCATCTCGCCGAGAGCCTTCCGACAGCGTATCGTTTGATTTTTGGTATCCTCTTCGTCGTGGAGATGTCGAGGTTTTTGGAATCGCCCCCCAGGGGGTGTGGTATCTTGTGCAACCTTTACCGCACCTCGAGAGTTTACACGCTTCAGCACTGAGAACGGCAGCACTAATGTAATACGCAAATGCACCGATGGTTCGGAGGCCGGAGCTAGCTTTCGGCGTACCACGCTCCTTGTACTCCCCCCAAGATGTTCCCTACGGCGTGCTGTGCATCTCCCGAAAAAGCTCCCCACGTTGAGCACGAGTTTTCAACGGCCAGTCACGGCCTGCAGCGACAACAAAGTCAGTCGCTCTTCACGCTCTTCATGGTCAGACGACCCTCATGCTTCACTGCCGTGTAAGACTCCGTCGTCATACCGTCAAAGACAATGTCCCGGAGGAATCTGCAGCTCATACGTAACGCTATTAGCATGAGAATGCAGGGCGGCCGGTGACCGGCGGTTGCCCTTCTCCATGTAGCCGCGAACCCGCTTGTCGACCTCGGCCATAAACCGCGACCGCGCCTCGCCGGAGTAGAGCTGAACGAGAACAGCAACGGGCCATCGGGGACGAAACGAACGGTGAAAACTACGCGACGTTGTTCCGTCGCGCATGTGGTGCTGCAAGCTCCTGTTTCTCGTGGGTGGTCTCACGCTCACGAAAATGGACCCAGATGGATAAGAGGACGCAAATTAAATCGCCCGAACAATGGAAAGTGTCAACGGAGCGCAGGACGGCAGTCGATTGTGGGCAAGAGTCAGGAAGAAAAACAAGGGAGAATCTAAATTACAAGATTATTCCTGGGGGGGGGTAGTTTGGGATGCTTTTTCGCCCCTCAAGACAAGCATGGCATTGCGAACCCGTGTTCGCAGGCAACCACGTGTGTACCACCTAATTATTGTACCTGAAGCATGTCGATGTTCTTGCTGCAGAGCGTGGCCTCCGCCTGGTTCAAGAAATCCTCTATCGACCCGTGCAGCAGCGCCTTCGCCGTCTGCCGGGAGCAGCGCCAACATCCAACGGCCAGAGCTCAAAGCACGATCGGTACAGGCAGTGCATTCCAGCAAGCTACTGACCCACTATTTATTGTAGAATAAAACACTGCTCTCGTAATTGAAACAGGCCCAAATCTTTCAGAAACGAAAAAAGAATGGGTTAAGATACACACCTCACACCATCGACATTCTTGAAGGATTCCACACCGTCGACATCCATCAGCACGTCATTTGTCTCACCGCAACGGTGGCCTGTTCTGGGGGCGATCTCCGCGATGCTCGGTCCCGGCTAGTTAGCTTCGCTCTCCTCAAGATCTCCGTCCTTATGAAGGACTCGATTGTCGACAGTTTCACCGGTAGCGGCACAAGGGGGGCCGCGTCGATTTCTCTGTCCATCTGCCGTGAGGAAGAAACGAGAAAAACATGCACAAGCACGACTGGAGATAGATACATCGGAGAGATTCGGAGCGAGTCTAAAACGGACGACGAAATGAAGCTTACAGGATGTAGATACCGGACGTACGTGCGGACAAATAATTTTTCTCTGAATGTTTTGCCCCGAACGAATCTTCCAAACTCTGACCTCAGCTAACCGTGCCGGCCAGCCGCCCCCGCCGAGCAGCTGCAACGACGTCATGTCGCGCGCCGCCACCGTGTTCTTGTTTCTCGGTTGCCGGTGGTGCATGCCACCGGTGGCCGAGAACACGCGCGTTCCTTGTCCTGAGCAGGAAGCCGCAGGTGTAGTCCTGTTTGTGGGATGTTCGAGGCACAGCAGTGGACGCGAAGGGCTCGGGAAGGTTATCAGGCACTGCTGTATGAATTCCTCGCCGTTCTGCATCGTTCAGTGGTTTGTTTTTACACCGCTGTTCCTCCTCAAAGACAGTTCCAGAGTCGGTCAACATTCAGGTTGAAATTAAATGAGCAGCGGGCGGGACGGTTGGCTCGGAGATATTGTCCCGCTAGAGGCATGTGCGCGCCACACCTGGAGAGCTGAGGGCCGCCGGTTGCACGGGTTTTTCCCTCCCCGCCGCCGCCATCATCATCGTCGTCGAATATGGCACCCAGCCCGTTCTTGGCGTCGTTATTTCTACTCGTCCTTTGCCCTCCCCGCCCTCCATCTCCGTGCCCGCCCGACCCACGGCTTCGCCGTTTTTTCTTCTTCGTGCCGGCGTCCCCGAGGCTGCCGACGCTGCTCGACAGTGACCCCTCCTGGGTGTCGTTGTCGTCGCTGTGTTCGGCCGAATGGGAGTTCTTCCGTCGCGACTGTTCGTGTTGCGTCCGGTGCGTGTTTCTGCCGGTGGAGTCGGCCGGGTCGTCGAAAGTCTTCCTTGCTGCCGCGGCCGCCGCCGCCCCTGCGGTGGAGTCCGTTGCGTCCGTCCTGATAGACGCAACGGAGCCTCCTCCGATGCTGTCGGAGTCGCTTCCTGCGAGTCTTCCCCCTTCGTCCGAATGGCCTGCGTGGTGGTGAAGCTGTTGCTGCTGGCGGAGGTGTTGCTGGTGGTTGCCGTGCTGGTACGCTTGGCCGATCGGGTTGTTTGAGATCCAGGCCGCCTCGGTGGTCTGGCGGTGTCTGAACAGCTTTTTAAGACGAATCGTGTAGGGAAAGGGATGAGACGGGTAGTGGGGAGGGGGACAAGTGTTTTGTAAGACTAAGCGGCGCACTCGATGATAATTTCCAAACATCGGCGAAACCATTAGACTAAAGGTGCAGAACTGGTGCATTTTGTACTGCACAGCCTTGGGGGTCCCCGCCGATCCTGAGGCCGAGACTTTCGACACTAACGGTTACATACGTGACGGTAAATGGGTCGTAGAAGAGTCTCTGAAAGCACACAAGGGGTGTCCCGCTGCGGCCCGGTGCTCTTCCGCCGGGTGGGGATGCATCTGCGACGCCCTTAACCTTTTCTTGGCCTCTCATGAGGTTCTGAGCCGTCTCGTTCTTGCGGATCTCCATCTGTTTCACCAGGCGGGGAAACCACGGGGCCGGTAGCACGTTCGCCGCCGCCGCCGCAGCCGCTGCGGGGCCGCCGCCGCCGCCGCCGCCGCCGCCGCCGCCGCCGCAGCTGCTATGTGTGCCGGTAACGGCACCTCCGCCGCCACCGCCGCCCCCGCACACCGATCCGTGGGGGACGATGGTTGCGGTGGATTCCGTCCGTGAGCCCCTTCGGAGACAAGTCGCCCTCCAGCTACCTTCACCCCTATTATTGCAGTCAGTGATGCGGTGTCGTATGGCGGGTTGTGAAATAGAGGAGAAGTCGAGGCGGTCAAGCGGTCATGCCGGGGAGTTGAACAGGTGGCGTGTAGCAGAAGAATAGGATCAGGAGCCTTTGTGTGTTTTCCTGGGCGTGCTTGTTGACGGTACAACGCGGCCCTTTACTGCTCTTTACTCAGCACTGGAGACCGTCGTGCGATGTGCTGTAAATTTCTCAGGGACGTGCATGGCGGAAGCGTGAGGGCTGCTGACCTTATTCTCTTCCCTGTGCGCAGCTCGAGCTTGATCGCCGCCTCTCCTTCGGGCCACAGCTTCAGCAGCGCCAGCACCCGCGCCCTCTTGCGAACAATGTACTTGGTTGAGATGCGCATAATGGACCTGATGAACCCCTGCATCAACCGCTGTTGTGTCCCATGCGATGGGGACGCAATGGCGTCGCACGCGTGCAGCATGGCGTTGCATGGAATGTTAGACAGGCTTCTGGCGAGCCAGGAAAACATCGTCGGTTTCATCGCTGACAGGGGGTAGTACAAACAGCATCAAGGCCGAGGGAATGCTTTTCGTCGAAGGAACCGGCTCCAACATCGCTCATGTAGCATACACTCGACGCCCCACCAGGGAATAGGCGCGTGCAGAGAGAGGGCATGCTCCAATGAGCTACTTCTGCGACTGGCAAATAGATCACCAGCCGAGGTACACAGCAACGGCCTACCAAAAGCTGCTGCCAGACGAAATCTCTCTTTCAAGCAAACACGGCTGCGGAGATGGATCCAGATCAGGCACAAGCGCCAACCCTGAAACATTCGCCGTGAAACGCTTCACCTACCGCATCTCCGTCGGTGTCGACCACGGGTGGCGGTCGACGATACTCACGCCAGGCCCGCTGAACGCGAAGCGCGGACGAGACAAGCAACAAGTAATCCCTGGCGTGCAGAGGGATAAATAAGTGTTAAGAAGGAGAGGGTCACAGAGAGAAGGACGGAGCAAGACCAGGAACAAATAAAACCTCGTTTCCCACGTCACAGCCAGCATTGGCACAGAGGCGAGAAAAAGGCCGGCATGTGTTGCTCAGCCTTCTCTCCGCCGCTCAAGGGGTTTTCTTTCTACATACCAACTCGAGGCGCGACAGTACCCCCCAAGAATCATGGCAAAATCGCTTCCTCGATCACAGTGGCCCAGACAAGCATGACGAAGCACAAACGGTATCCCGAAGAGGAACGTTACAAAGCTAAATTCCACGTGTGTTGGTCAACGGTTGTTGCATGCCGGGTGGTCAAGTCCTTGGAGGCACCCACCTGTGTGCCGCCCGGCGCTTCTTGGTCCTCTCTAGCAACCGCTTCATGTCAACCGCCGTGGATACAAGAGCCACAACCCATAGGAGCGTCCTCTCTCGATCTTCCGCCGCGGAGGCCTCTCCTCGGCTCTTGGCGAGGTTGGCTCGCCCTTCCAGCTTGTCGGTCCTCCGCGAGATACACTGGGGAATGGACGGGAGGGGGGGAGGAGAAGACTCGTCGCTGTATCCCTCAGTCTACATTGTGTTCGTGGCGGATACAAGTGGACGTGTGGAGTGCACAAAGCTCTGTCAGCCACTGTCTGTGGCGGAACCTTTCACGCCTTCACAGCCAACACGGTGTGGCTCGGGTGCTGTCGACTTTTCTCGGGTGCCCCCGGCGAGTCGAAGGAACGGTGTCCGCACGGGTTGTGTCGGCGGGGGCGTCGGATTCTTGAGCGCCTGCTTGTGTTGATAGAAGCTTCAAATGGCTTGACTCCTTCCACCGATTGCAAGGCGAATATGAACGCCAGGGGGAGTTGTGGTTGTGTTGCGGTTTCGGGCAATGCTCGATTCGGGGGCTGACGACTTTCTCTCGCGCAGGCACCGTTTGCCCGTTTAAGAGGAGGGGACGCCGTACCTGCACCCGGTGACGTCGTCTCAACCTGAGAGCACTTGTTAAGCTACGCAAACGTCAAACTTCTGAACAAGGACAAGATGCTTTGTGGCGCTCCCGTCACACGCCAACAAACACAACTCCCAGTTGATGGCGCACACAAACATAGCTCAAGCAGTTCGAGAACGTCAAGAATCTTTCTCGGCCACTTTGAACCGGAACCTCGTCCCGTCATTGATCTCGATTTCGAGACATCTCTGACTACTAGTTGCACCAAGTCGAAAGGCTTTGCTCACGAAGCTATTACACCCCTGAGTCCTAGGGATAAGTGTCACCTCTTCTTCAAGCCGCTTTATCTTCTCCCTGGCGAACATCATCTCCGCCCGCCGCTTGCCATCCCTGCTCCTGGCGTCGATCCTCGCCCTCCTGCGGCGCGCCGCAACGCCCAGCCGCCTGCCGTCGGGGCTGCCCCTCTCCGAAGCACGGCGCCCCTCCTCCCCCAGCAGGCACAAGAACCCGCGGCGGCGATGGCGACCTTGGTCGTCGCTGTCACCGTCCTCTCCCCACTGAATCGCGTGGCAAACACGCTCGGCTTTGCCCCCGGTTCCGCTCAGGCTTTCCGCAAACAGCGACCGACCGTTGGCAGTCCTGAAAAACTCAGCGTCCTTGAATTCGAAGCCCCGGCCCCCGGCGTTCATGCCCTCTTCCTTCCCCCCCCGCTCCAGCTCACCCCCGTTGTGGAAATCAAGGGGAAACCCTCTGCTTCGACGATCATAACCTGTGTCAGCGCACCCGTCGCCTTCTTTGCCCCCGCCCATGTGAGCGGCGGTGCTACCCTCTCCCCCCCCCCCCCAAAACAGCGGCGATCTTATTGGGGTCCCGCCCCAGCGGGTTGGCGGCGGCGCCCAACACCCTACCGCCGTGCGCGGTGTCGTCGGCGTACCCGAGCGCCCCCGGCGCCCCCCTCCCCTAGAGAACGACCTGCTCCGAACCCAGCCGTTGTTCTTGTCCGCTGTGGTCGGGTTCGATCGGGGCTTCTCTCTGCCGACAGGGTGGCGGCGGCGGCCCGCGGAAGAGAGATCGACACGGCTCCCGCTGGCGGGCTGCGGAGCCCCCGCTCGCGCCGACGACCTTGCCGCCGGCGAGTTTGTAGGACCCCCCCCGCGCTGCGCCGAGACGGAGACCTCCTCCTCGCCGCGCCCCGTCATCTTCTTCTGGCTTCGTCCTGCCCGGCTTGCCGCCCCATTTTCGGCAGCGGGGTTGCCGCCCGCTGGTTTTGATGCTCGTTGGCGGATGTCACCAGTGCTGTCAACCCCTGTTCCGTCGCTCCCGCTACCCGTGCCGCCGTCACCGCGACCGTCACCGTCTTCTAGGTCGGAAAGGGCGGAGGAAGATGACGACGTCGAAGAAGCCGAAGATGATGATGAGGAGGAGGAGGAGGAGGACGGGATACCGAAGCGGAAGGGTCGAAGCTCCAGCAACTCAGCCTGTAGCTCCTCCAGCGGAACAGCCGAGTTGGATTCAAGAACAGCTGATAATCTGTCGGCAAACACCACTACCTGCAAAGGGGAAAGGGAGAAAGTCGAATCGTCTTTTTGAGGGGAATATTTCCGTCCAAGAGGCTATGCAGGTTGTTCCTGAGCGATGAGGACAAGACAGTTATGTACGTGTCTCTCGTGGCGTAGAAAGCTTCCCGCTCTTGAGTGGATGAGCGATGAGGCGGTACACCAGGACAGGATCTGGCTGAACGGGGACAGACGTGGGGGCACCCAGTACGGGGTATTGGACACTCAACTGTACCGAGATGTCCACAATCGTGTCTGTCGGTTGGTATTTTTGCTTTCGAGATGACAGAGAATAAAAACGCTTGATAGTTGGAACTACACAGCCACAGTAGTGGTAAGTGTTGATAGTCCCCGGGGCAAGAGAAACGCGGTCTGTCCATCGTGGACGGTTAGTCAGCCGTGCAGTTATTAGTAATACTTCTGGATCTCGAGAGGGCCAAAGTTCAACCTTCGAAATGGAAAGCCACGCTGCCGACCGAACGCTGGCAAATCGCGCTTTCTTGGTAGAGCCCGGCTGCGGCCGAGATATGGACGGAAGGACTCTCCAGCCTTCAACCGGAGGTTTTAGCTCTCCGTTGCCCTTGGTTGAAACGGAAGCGCGTGGGTGGGAACACGGGGCATCAGAGAACCAAGTGCTGTCGTCAAGTGAACCGAAAGAATGCTATCGGGGCCGCCTGGCGAATGATATGGAGTGTTCCCTTTAGCAGCAATGTGCGTAACGAACGCATGCAACTTTTCTCTCCTCGCCGGAACCACCCAAGACGGCGGATGGCAACCAAGGACACTAAGGCATGGAAAGGCGGTGATAAGATTGCGACGTTTTCGCGCCGCCCCAAGCAGCAGCCAGAGTTATCGCGATGGCAGCAAACCTTCTCACCATTCCTTGCCCCCGACGCAACCCACCCCGGCCGTTCGCACCACCGCCAGCCCCGCGCCCCCCGGAGAAGGGTGAATCTTCTCCGATCGAACCCGGGCCAAGTCCGAAAGGCAGAGCCAGGGCTGTCCCTTCTCCTGCTCCACCGCCGCCGCCCGAATCTGCCGAGGAGGATGCCCCCACCGGCAGATCCATGCTACCGGCGCACGCCAGAGCCAACGCTTGGCACCGCTGTCGTCGTGCCCACTCGGTGTCTGACGCCCTTGCCGCCGCTGCCTCTGTCGCGGAGTCGTCTTGTTCTTCTTTCTGCCCTCGCTTTTGGTTTTGCCCTTTGGCACTCTTGTCCCAGCCCCTGCCTGACGGTGACAAGTAGGCATCTCCGGGCTCTGAACATCCTCCGGACCCCGGAAGCTCGGCGTGACTCCCTCTCCCCCGCGGTTGCTGCCGTTTCTGCTGTCCGCCGCAGCCGCTTCCTGCCGTCGACTCTGTCGACCTGCTCCGCGACGAGCCCCTTCTTGCGCCGCCACCACTACCGCCGTCACCACCGGCGGCAGCAGCGACGTTGGAGGTGGTAATAGCTTGGTTCGCTGACGGAGCGGGCGTCACCAGCCACGGAAGTTCTCGAGGGCGTCGACCCAGCCCGATTTCTACCGTTTCTGGGCCGGCGGTGTTGGCGGCGGTGATGGTGGCGGCGGGCCGCTTCTTGCTGTTGGCGGGCTGGTGGATTTCGTGGGTGTGCATGCATGTGCGTTGTGCGTGAGTCAAACAACAGAATCAAGGCTTTCCCGGCCGGGTGGGACATGGGAAGATATGGTATGTACATGTGCTCATCGAAAAACGTCCAGTACGTTCAATGCGCATGTCGTGGAGTGGGAGAAATCCCGCCCCAACGTGTACCTCGAGGGTAAGGAGAACATCGCTTCCGGCAGAGGTGTTCTGCCCTTAGTTGCGGAGGTTCTCCATGTTACCACAAGCATCATGCCAAGAGTACACGTGAGCAGGTGTTGTGATGGGCTTCCGCAAAACCTCTCCGCAGATATACCCAAAAGTGAGCGGCATGTGGGCCGATTGCCAGAAACGTTCGCATGGTGGACTGGCTTCCAACAACGACGTGTGTGTTGCGCACGGCCGCCGTCTATCCGCTATATCTCAACCATAGCATCTTCCTACGAGAATCTCGTGTTGTTACGATGGTTGCCTCAGACTGTACTACACCCGCCCGATGGTCATAAAGTGTTTGATCATGGTGAACCAAAATACAAATACCTGAACGGTCGACGCATTGATCAATGCACAGCACACGCCGTACACAGCTCGTAGACGTGCGTTGGCTCAAATAAAAGAAGAGTTGCGTTCTAATCTTGTTTCACCGGCATGTGCGTGTTCCTCGTCGATGCACCGAAAGCTAAACCTCATGACCGCCACGCACTCCGCACACTCTCACATCGTTATTGGAGCCAGTTATCCTCCGGCGAGAGCAAGCACCCCCGGCTGCAGAACGGAAGCTCTTGCGTTGCAGGAAGGGTGATTCGTCCTGTCCCGAATACACAGGGAAATTGACCATGACACATATAGGGCAAGGTGTGTTTGTTCGGCCCACACTGAACTCTTGAGCGACTGCATACTAGTGAGCGTTGTACATTTCTAACTTCACACGTGGCACGACAGCGCATCCGGACCACTACCTTGCTTTGTGTGGGAGGGGAGTATATTGACAAACAAAGCCTACAAACATCGGTCCCATATCCAAGGCCCCCATCACCCAGACTAATAGCCCATGTCGACACTGCTGCACGTATCTTCCAGCAGGGATTGATTACTGTCGTCTGCGCCAGCCACTCCCAAGAAACACTCAACTACCAATCAATTTTGACGTGTAGGGATCCAGTGGTTGTTCGTGAGTGTAGTTTAGACGATGAGCTTCATACGACAGGCGTAGTAGTGACTGACAACCTTTGTGAACACTGAGTAAAGACGCCGGTTGAGTGAACTTTGGGAGTTAGCTACATGCTGTTGTACCATGCAACGCCCACACGAATGGCGTGGACTTTTCCTGCCGCAGGGTGGAGCTGATCCATTCCACCAATAAGAGAAAAACATACCAAATTCAGTGTACTTAGCTTGGCCCGTATACCAAACGTCTCGTAGTTTCTCCACTCCCACCTAGACCACATCCTGCTTTGCCGGACCCATGGCCATAACCCCGCCGACGGTGGCGAGCGGGCGGCGACAGAACCGCACGATCCATTTGAACAACGCCAACAGCAACTTCAGCAGCAGCAACAAACAATTTCTAGAAGCCACGTGCGCAAACAGCTAACCATACTTCAATCAATGCTTACCAGGTGTTCAAGGGAACGAAGTCGCTTAATTGCTTCGTCTGGTATCATCACGGCATAGGCTCTTGCTGGAGCCTAGCGTGTAGAGCTAGCTCTAGCCACCGATATGAACACCTACTCCTGCCGTGTTCCGTGTGTCTCAAGCGTTTCTCCACCTTCGTGTTGGCATTCGGAAGAAATTAGGCAACCCAGCAGTTACCAGGGGTGGCGAGAGCAACACGTGGGAGGGATTTTCGTTGTTGTTGTGTCGCAACACCCCAGGGCAAGAGCGCGTAAACAGGCAAACACCCGACTAACGCGGCTGGAACCCTGGAATAGTAGAAAGTTCTCTGACACGAACCGTCACTTGATTCGCCGACCCGTCACTTGATCCGCCGCACACGAGCGTGTTGAGTGTTGAGTGCCTGGTGGTGATGGATACGTGGGATACGCTGCATGTGCATTTGGTGTGCAACGTGTGCGTGCGATAACCCTGACCCCTGACTTCCCCCGCCAACAACCGACCAACCTTCAAGCTATCCCAATGAGATGTTCAGATGTGCAGACTCCACCGCTCTCCAAGAAACATGATATTTGCTGTCGGTATAGTACTCTGCTGAACATGAAGAACAACATATAGATCCAACTAATACTCCACTCACTGAAAAGACTCCACCACATCCCGTTCGACTGTGGGTATATCTCGAATGGGTAGTCTTTCTGTGTGTGTTTTTATTATTCCTTAATGTAACATCTACGCCCCACAATTCAAAGCAATCTCAGGAGCGGTGAGACAGCACTGACACGGGCATAGCAATGAACGCATGAACGAGATCACACCCGACCCAAGAACAACACGATTCCACCGCGTTCCACGATCCCGCCGCCCTTGATCGTCGCCCGTAGACCACCTCCCGATTGATTTCAGTGCCGCCGCCGGGTAAGCCTGGACCCCTGTCCACAACGAAAAGACACGAGGTACGCTATCATAGACACGACCTAGCCATACGATCCTCCTAGCCGAAGCAAGCAAAGCAGGCAGGCCACCCAAGGGTGGCAATGGTACCCTTCCGCGCTGCTTCTTCCCTCGCGACGCCCCTCCAACTGCTGTGGGCGGCGGCAACAGCGTCCAAGAAATAACAGAACGAATTACCCTTGACTCAATGCTACTGTAGTCAGCAGGAGCCGTTGTACAGTACGTACATACGGCAGGGGTGAGAGGCGAGCCGGCACCAGCAGACACCAGCGTTTTTCGAGCCTTTTTGTCAGGGAAGCGAGCATTCTACATGTAGCACGTCTTCTTGAGAAAATAACGTACGGTAGGAAGGTACGCGACTCATCGCGCAAGCTCCTCTCCTCGCGCCACAAAGACCTGTACGAGAGATGGGAATTTCTCCGAACGAGCACACCTCACACACAAGGTCACACACGTGTCTGTCTGTCTGTCTGTGCCACGCATTGTCAGATTACGAGGTGGTGGTCGTCGGCCCAATATACGCTCACCATAGCTCGCATACACCCACAGGCGCATTGTATGGTGATGGAATTATGTAGTGGACTCCCGTCCATGCTACCTTGCGCGAAGTCTGCTGAAAAAAAGCACTCCAATCGCTGTGGTACTTTTGTATTTTTTCCAAGTCGACAAACTTGGCCAGGTAACCCGCTTGTCGCGTTCCAGTCTATCCAAACAACTCAACAACTAACCGCCTGGAATCAACAGCCAACCGTGAACACAAGCCACGCCAAATACTCGTCGAAGGGCGTTTTTCTGCGAAACCGCCGGTGGCGACAAGGCAGCAACACCATCGTCTCGAGAGGACCAAACACTTGGGAAACACTTGGGAATTCGAACAGTAATTTAGTGTTTGTCGCTGGTTGGATTGGTTTCGAACCCAGTCGTGCTTTTGTTGGTCGGATCTCGGGCTTTCCGCGCGGCCCCTGCGTTTTCGAGGGCCTGCCACACTATGTTTTTTACTCCCGCGAAGGTCACAGCTTAGCGATGTAGCTATGTGCGACCAGGGCAGGATGGTTTTTGTCCCGTCGGAAACACGACGGCACTCGATGCGAAAGCAGCAGCAGCAGCAGCAGCAGCATGGGTTTTTGGCCGGCCTTGGATGCATATAAGCCGTCTTTTTCGAGCGACAAATCTCGAGAAGCACCGTGTCGACGAGGACTCTCTTCGCCACGTGACGGCTTCACACCAACGCACCACAAAACCGAACCATCGCGACATGCCAGAACGGAAATTCGCACAGAAACGCAAAATTTTTCAACGAGAACGGGTGTCTCGCCCCGTTACCTAGCCGAACGAACCTGCGCATCCTGACCAAAAGGAACATGGCCCAAATATTTGCCGTTCCCTGTGTGGCTCAGAGGGTATGGATGAGCTTGTGTTTCCGACCCCCGGCTAGGGGGAAATCTCTGCCCAGCATGTATCAGGCATACCGGTGTTCAGATACTGTACAAAATACGCGTCGAACATACACACGCTATTGCTGCTGCCACACAATCAATAACCTTTCTTCATCAGGGACAACACACGAGCGGCGGCCGGAATCAGCCAAAAGCGGAAAAGTCTTGAGCAATCCACGGAAAACACGGTCTTCACACAGAGAGAGGTTCCACACACAGCAAATAAGGTACCACTAACAACTACAATAGTTTTGTTATACAAATTACAAGACTCCGGGGGCAAAGAAGTCGTTCATCTGCCCCCCCCCCCTCCTCTACAGTACCATATCTCAGCAGTGTACTACTCCCCTTCCCCAGTCTTGATCCTTTCATCGCCCTTGGTAGTCTCTAGGCTATCCATCGCGTCTGAAGTGTCCGAAATGATGGGTTTTCATCAGCGTACCAGCCCCCCCCCCGATCTACGTGCTTTCATTGCCCTTGGTGTACTCTAGAGCTATCCGGTGCAAGGTGTCCAACGTGCCAGAAATCATGGCGAACACACCCGCGGCAAGGATGAAGTTGTGCAACAATTTTCTCCCGGGGCTCAGCGGAAAGCCGGCGTCCTTCTCCAGCTTCGCGTAGCAAAGGGTCGGAAGGATGAAGGCCAAAAGCGCGCAGCAGCTGCGAAGCAAGAAAAAGAAAGGACAAAGGGTTCCGAAGGGGTGGAGAGGAACGGAGGCTCAGTGCGGTACCGGAGTGAGCGGGGGAGGGACGCTACGGGAGGTGGTGCGAAGGCCCTACCCTGGACCATTCGGCATGGTCCTGAGGTCAAACGGCAGCACGCACGCGCGACACCAGGCTTAAAACAAACAACGACCACGTGCGGAAGGCATAATGTACGCGCCGAAATTTAAGACATATACCAAAACAGAAGCTCTAAAAACAAATTAAGTTAAGATTCAGATAAATCAAGAGAGTAACAGCAGTGCAAAATCACAAATCGCTAAATACAGCATCGCTACATACAGCATTCAGAGAAATCAAGGGAGTATTACAGCAGTGCAAAATCACAGATCGCTAAATACAGCAGTGCAGAGGAAAAAAAAATACTACAAATCAGTTTGCTCTCAACCATTTCGCTGTGTCGATGACACGTACGTGCTTCCGACAAGCGACACGAAGAGGCCGAAGTTTGGGACCACGCACGCGACCAGCCCCGTCGTGAACACCACCGCCGCCCGAAGAACGTTCCTGTCTCTCCCGTACGACGGCGAGTGGTGCTGCCTCAGCCACTTGCACTCCAACACCTCCCACACGGGAACCATCCTGGGGGGTTACAAGAGGTGACGAAGGCGCCGAGCACTCCGTGTAAAGAAAAAAAAACGAATGTCGACGACCAGCTTGCTTCTAAATTAATCAGAATAGCAAAGGCGCGCTGGAGGACACTCAGACACATACGGTCGGGGGCAAACACGGCAAGCGAGGTACCTACAGAACAACGGCAGGGACGGACGGTGGGTGCATGCGTGCACTACGTACAGGACAAGCAGCTCGAGTGAGTTTGACATCACGTCGGGCGTCGGGCGTAGGTAGGGCAACTTTCTGAGCCGCTTGGAACCCTCTAGAGGGTACAGCCCAACCGCAGTCCAAAGAGGATCGGCGACCAAAGGCGGCGGTCGGGCGGTCCCCGGTGCTCGCTGGTGTCTGAGTACTCTTTGGCCTTTCGGTAGACATGACCCTTGTCGCTCTCGCTGTGTGTCTCTATCTGTCTGCCTCTCTCTCTCTCTCTCTCTCTCCCCCCCTCTCTCTCTCTTTCTTTCTGTCTCTCTTTATCGTGCTGTCTGTCTCTGTCTGTCTGTCTCTGTCTGTCTGTCTGTCTCTCTTTCTTTGGTCTCTCTCTCCCTTGCTGTCTGTCTGTCTCCCTCTCCCTCTTTCTCTCTGTCTGTCTGTCTGTCTGTCTCTCTTTCTTTGTCTCTCTCTTGCTGTCTGTCTCTGTCTGTCTCTCTCTCCGTCTCTCTCTCTCTCTCTCTCTCCCTCTCTCCCTCTCTCTCGCTCCCGCTCACATGAGGGGGAAGGTGAAGTACAGGCCGACGCAAAAGCTCAGCTTAACCACCAGCGTCGACGCCGTGGAGCCGATGTTCAGAAGAATTATATCCTGCAGGCGGCGGGAGGGCGGACGTTGATTGGCTGCCGCGCGTGTTAATTCAACAACAGGGTTTGCACGCCTTTCGAAACCAAGCGCGGCTCCTGTTCCTTGTACAAGACAAGTGTGCGTGTCAGAGGCACGTAGTGTTGTACCGTGTAGCAAGCACGCATCAGCGAGAAGAAAACGCGCCCACGGGGTGCCGCGGAATCGAGGCACCCACCCGTACCGGCAGCAACCTCAACTGTCGGAACAGACAACCGCAGCATAGCTAATTGTCCGGACCGCGGAAGAAGACGCGCCCATGGGGCGCCGCGGAATCGAGACACCCACCAGTTCCCCCAACAACCGCAATTTTCGGAACAGTTCATCGATCGTCCTGGTCGCATACCTCCGTCTCGTCTCCGAAGGCCATGTACCCCAGCCCTCCCGAAAGCACGCAGAGGACGGTGTAGATCACCATCACCCACGACAGGATCGGCGTGAAGCGTTCCCGGTTAACCATGGCGTCCTCGATGGGAATCGCCATGCCGATCCTAAACACACGCGACGACAAACCGGTTTCTTTACGGGATTCATGGCAAAACAAAACGTGTGCACTAGGCTATGATCTGCCGTCCAAAGAAATGGAGAGAAGAAAAAACAAGCCATGCTGTGGCAAATCGCAAATAATAAACGCGCGCGCAACTCAAAGCGCGCTGAAGCAAACAAACCAAGGTCGGCCGTTGCTCAGTCATCCGGTTCGGTCGCGAGGTCCCAAACACCAAGCGCCGCATGTGACCCAACAGTATCTCGGCAACCGAAGCAGCTGCCCGGGTTAAGTGGCGCAGCCATTGGCGTCATCACCACTCACCCCTCGAAGCAGTACACGGCCACTCCGAACACGAACGGTAGTGCTGCATGCACAAAAAGTAACGGTGGTAGAGGCGTAGCGGGGGCGGCGCAGGCGACGAGGGGGGTGGGGGGGGTCAGTACTCACACGCAACATCTCCCTTGAAACGGCAATACTGTCAGCAAGGAAGGAGGAGCAATCGGTCTTACGCCCGTACGTGTGACCGGTGCCCGGGGTGACGCGGAGCGCAGTGCAAGAAGAGCGGGGTATCGCTATTAATAGATGCCATGTGGCTCGATTGTGCCGGAAACTCTGACCACGATGTAAATACCATGTTTAGCAACACCAACAACAGGGGAGAGCATCAGGGCGGTGTGATGGCGAGCGCAGGCACGCAGACGTGCGGCACGATAACAAAATAGCAAGAAACATGACATGGAAACCGTGTTCCTTTCGTCGTTGCTCAAGAACAACCGCTGGAGTAGTCGACATGCAGCAGCACTCTCCGCCGCCACCGCCACCCAAAAAGACTACGTTACCAAGCTTCGCCGCTGAGACCCTCTCCAACGGCGTCAAGACTGACAGCGGTTCATGATACTAGTGTAGGAGTCGCGACGAGAGCGCGCTGCTTGTGGGCGACAGTGGCATCGTAGGCTTCGTCCCCCCGCGCCCCTTATACACCTGGCCCGTGTGGCGTTCTAAAGGAGCCGTGACATCCGCGTAAAAAATGACCAGCACATTCCGACAATCATCTCTCACATAAGTAGGGAAAGTACATGTGACTCTCTTGCTGATAGTCGGCTGCTGCTCCGACTACATACGTGCCTATGACATTATCGAGTCCATGCCCCTTCCGTGTGACCACGGTTCGGAGAATCTTCCTACGCGGCAGAAATGCTGTGGGCGCTGATAAAAAGTGACGATAAAAAAAAAATGCATACCTTTCCAGCGGGCCATCGAGATGGATCCGTGGTTCATGCTATTACTTCCTGTGGCCACCTATCTATGCTGGCCCACGCCTCAATCCTTCGGCGTGCTCAAGTACTCCGTGGTCCTCTCTCGCGCTCACAAGCGCAACAACCGATGACTACAGCGCACGTGTGCAATCTCCGCTGGTGTCCAGAATTTAGGGGGGAACGCGAAATGTGGTCTGCGTCTACGTAGCCCCGCTTTTCCAACAGTGATGCGTTATAACTCTTTCGGTTGCAATGAACGTCGGGTTTTCCGTCTCCGAACAAAAAAAAATAGCTAAAAAAATGCATACCTTTCCAATGGGCCATCGAGATGCTCTCGTGGTTGATGTCCATGAACTCCGCGTCGTCGAAGAACACCACGGCAAGACCCGTCAGGTTCACAACCTAGGTCACGGTTATGGTACGGTATACCGTGGCGGCGGATGCGGGTCATGACGCCACGGGTGGTCTAAGCGAACACACGAGTGGTCTGTCTTGGTGCTGGTACAGTAGTAGTACAGTAGTACAGAGCTATTATACCACCAAGCGGTGGGTAGAACATGCAGGTTTCGGTCCGTGTCAGACAAGGGCCTTGGGGATAGAAACGGGAGGCCCCGTCAGACTTCACGGAATGTCAGACTTCGCGGAATGTCAGACTTCGCGGAATGTCAGCTTTCATTGAAGGTCAGAATTCACGACATGTCAGCCTTCACGGAATGTCAAACTTCACGGAAAGTCAGACTTCACGGAATGTCAGACTTTATGGAACGTCAGAATTCACGGAATACCAGACTTCACGGAATGTCAGATTTCATGGAATACCAGACTTCACGGAATGTCAGACTTCGCGGACGCGCAACAGCAATAGCGGAAGCATCACACGAGTCAGGTATTGGGACCGCCGAAAGCATTACAAGAGGTTAGCCAGATTTCGGTTGCGGGGTTGATGTGCACGCATCTATGTACGCCCTGTGCACAGAAAAAAAAAATGCCCTCCCTTTCGTCGGGAGAGGGCCTGCTGTGGCGCAGGGCTCTATTCCAGTGCTCCTTGTCCCGTCCTTCCATGCCATTTTTGCTATAGACTACTGCCGCTTCCTACGTTGCGCGGCCACTGCTGCCCTTCTTTCTCTTCGCGCGCTCTGCAGCTTCCGCTCGTTACTCGGCATGCTACACCACTTCGCGCTCTCTTCTCAAAGGAATGGCAGGGAAGGGGGTTCGAATTTCTTCCCCTCTCGTGACCCCAGGTTTCCGAACAATTAAAGAAGCTACAATCCGAAACTGTTCCACCAATAAACGCCATTTTATTCTGTCTGTTCGACGAATAAAATTCCCTTTTTTTTCTCACCTCGGCGATAAGCGAAAAGGGAGCGAGGTACTTGAGGTGCTTGATGAGGCACATCAGAACCAGCCCGGGCACACACAGGAAGATTACCGGCGCTTTTTGAAACGAAAACAAGGCATACAGATTCCTACAGCGGGGCAGGAAATGGAAAGGGGTTTCCCAACCGGAGGGGGGAGGGGGGGGGGCATACGAGAGAGGAGGAAAACAACAGAGGACGTCAGGGCTTGGGTTACTCGCGTTTAGTCATTGTGACGAGCAAAGCGATTCTTCCTACGGGTACTCTTGGAAAGGTTCGTTCAAGTCTTACAGAAACAACACCAACGATCATCGGGAGCTCTCGTTTACCATTTGCCTCACCCTACACTAAAAGCGTACGGAGGGCGTCCGTCTTTCTGTCGCCTGCGTTTTATTTTCCCCACATTCGACACGCAAGGTCTTTCGGGATGGAAGACGGCGAGTAGGGGGGGGGGGGGGGCCCCCCCCCCCCCGTTTTTGGGAAACCCCCACAACCCCGGTAACGGGGGAAATTTTCCCCCAATCCCAAAAAAATTGCCCCACCCCAATCTTTTCCCTCCCCCCCCCCATGACACCCATGCTCCCCCAAAAACCACTTAGGCCCTCAAACCTCCCAAACAACCACCACCACCCCAAAAACCCCAACCACAAAAGGCCCCCCCCTACCGGACAAAAACTACCCTGTCCCCAACCCCGGGCCCCCTCCAAGCCCCCAACCAACAAAAACAACCGTAACCACCGCAACCACCACCCCAATTTCCCCCCTCCCCCCCCTCCCCCCCAAAAAACAAAACCCCCCTTAACCACAACCCCCCCAAAAAAAAAAAACACAACAGCAACAACACAAACTTCAACAAAAACAACAACAACAACGAATTTGAGCCCGTACCC